TCTACTGTTTTGTCCAACTTTATAATATCTAATGAGATAGACAATTCTTTTTAAGGAAACAAGGGACAACGTTGATAACCATTGTTGATAAACTTGTACTCTGTTCTACACCATGTGCTATGTCTATCCTTGGTATTGACTGACAGCTTTGTTTTGCCATATTTGACTGTATTCTTCCCCCCCACCAAAAAAAAGTAATAAGCACTAAGGAGTAATGAAATCCAAAGTGTGTGAATTTTGTTGTAAAAAAGAGAGGGAAAAAAAAAAGAAAAAGAAAAAGAGCTCTAACGGATATAACAGCAAGTGTGTTTAGGGGTGTTAAATAGCTGACTGTATCAATGTTTTTGGATCATTGAACACAGCTGTTTGCAGTCTACCTGTTTGAATGTCCACCTTGTATTCTTTGATACTGTGATTTGAGGAACTATTTTCAAGATGATAATATGTAATATACTAACAGGTGATTTCTTACTGTTATTTTTTGTTTGTTTGTTTGTTTTGTTTTGTTTTGTTGTTTTTTGTAGTTCTGTATTACGTGTACCCTTACACCGCTTTGGTTTGTTTTGTGTTTTTCTCTTTTTCCTCTTGAAAAAAAAAAAAAAAGAAATGAGTATGGAGAAAAATTAATTTGCAGCAGTATATTTTCTTATCTCCAAAATACATTTTAAATTAGTTTAAAATGTTAAATATTAAAAAGTTCTACCAACAAAGCCAAAAGCAAATAGAATCACAGAATTTATTTTATTTATTTATTTCAAGAAAAAGAGAGAAACAAAACAAAAAACGTATTCGAAACACATCTATCAGGGAGCAATAATGGTACATACATTGCATATTGTCATCCCCGAATCAGAATCACAGATTTTAAATCAGTCCTGAAAGGAAGACAATTTGATAATTAAACTAATAAAAGTATCCATGATAAAATGGATATTGTCAACAACAAACTCCTTTTCCATAGCAATTAATTGTTAAATGAACACAACTCAGTAAGAAAGATATTCCAAGTTGATACGTAGAAACAAATTTTAGTCCAAAAATATATAAGCAGGAGATAATGGGTTATAAAGCAATAATCACTTTAACAATATGAATATAGTTACATGAGAAGAACTATATGGCATTAAGTAAGCATTATTCAAAAACTAGAAATTATAAACTGTGAACTTTTTTCTCACTGGCCCACCCTATGAAATATCTGGCTGTTTGCCTATCTGTCCATCTCTTTATCTCTTTCTTGAGATAGTGTCTCACTGTGTGGTTCAGGCTGGCCTGGAGCTCAGACTCTCGGTGATCATCTTGCCCCAGCCTCCCAAAAGCTGAGATTACAGGTGTGTACCACTACATCCAGCACTTGTTTTTCTCTTTCAAATAAATCCTTGATCCTGCTGCAACTCTTGGGTGTCCTGTTCAGTTTCAGTGTTTAGGATGTTAACACTCCCAGTGTGTTAACAGGAAGACTGCAAATTTTACCACAGTCTGAGTAAGTTAGAAACTTAGCAAGACCCTTTCCCTCCCAACATTAAGAATTTTCAGTTTCATTAATGAGAACAACTGTGAGGTATCTTAATTATAATGTGCTTAATTAGGAACTATACATCAATTTGAGTCATTGTTGACAGGGTTTTGGATGAAAAATAATTTTTCCACATTGCTGACAGAAAGTGAGCAGTATTTACAAATGAAACACTTCAACAGAGAAAAAGGCATACTCATTTGTACATTTACATTTGCATATCATATTCCAGTTAAAATTGGAAGGCATTTGAAATACCATGGTGGAGAAATTACTGGGCAAATTGTAACATGTTTAGGCAATAGATTGATATTTCCCTTAGAAAAGACAAATGTTAGAATCACTTAACTATTTGGAAATAAATATGCAAAGTAATACTAAGTGAAATAAATAGAATACATAGTTTGGTATTGGCCCTGAACATTTTTTACTAGAAGAGACTCTGTTATGCCTCACCCGTAAACATTAATAATAAATTTAAATATTTATTATGATATCTAGTAATAATGAGAGTGAGCAAACAGAATTCTCATAGTTTATTGGAAGGGCAGTCTATTAACAGGAAAAATGAAATGACTAATTTCTGAAGAACAATTTGATACTAGCTACTGATCATTTAGTCCTGTATTTATCTGGAAATCCCACTGATAAGAATTTAATTTAGAGATATATTTGCCAGTGTTCTTTAAGGTATGTCCCAAAAGATAATTCATTATAACTTTTTTATAGTGGAAAAAGGAATGACTAAGGCATTGATAATTGGAGACTACTTGTATAAATTTTGGAATATCCCTTAGGTGGAATACTATACCCCCAGTAAAAATAGGGACTGGGGATTGAATCCAAAGGCTTTGTACTGGGCTACATCTCCAGCCCTTTAATTTTTTTTTTTTAATTTTGAAACAAGGTCTTGTAATTGCTAAATTACCAAGGCAAGATTTAAACTTTTGATTCTCTTATATCTGTCCTACAAAAAGCTTCTAATTACTGCTTATCAGTTTTACCTTCTAGAGGGCCTGGGATGTAGCTCAGGGGCATAACACCTGCCTGGCAACCATGAGGTCCTAAGTTCGATTCCAAGTATCAAGAAAAAAAAATCCAAAACAATTTCTCCTTCTAATACTGTTAGAATGACAGTTAAACTCCAGCATGATTTTTTAGAGAGGACAAACAACTAAGCATGAGTATATGCAAGTATAAATTCTACAAGAAAAGGCAACCAACTTTGAGCAGCTGCTGCCTTTGGAAAGAGAGGTATAGAAGAAGAAAACAGGTAAGCCTTCACTTAATAGCTTATTTATTTATGTATTTATGTATTTATTTATTTATTTTTAAATCCATTTCTTCATTTGCAGTACCATGGATTGAAACCAGGCCCTTTAGTAGCTCTCTAGATTCTGTTGCTACCTTCTCCTCCTTTCCTCAATGTTCCACACCCCTCCTCCTTCCTCTCTTTCTTCTTTTTTGTGGGACATATTTCTAAACTTATCAAGCTGGGCTTGAACTTCAGATCCTCATGTCTGGCTCATTTAACACCTTGTACCAATGTGTAGAGCATGGATTTTCTACACATTCACATTTATTGCTAAGATTTAAAAATTGTCCTCAAAAAATTGAGTGGCTGAGGTAGGAAAATCATAATTCGGAGTCTAACCGTTTTAGAAACTTAGTGTGATCCTGTCTTTTTTGATCAGTTCAGGCGGGCCTTGAGCTCACTTTGTAGTTCAGGCTGGTCTTGAACTTGCAATGAACCTCCTATGTCAGCCTCCCAAGTGCTGGGATTTACAGGCATGAGCCACCACACCTGGCTCATGATCCTGTCTTTTAAAAAGTTGTTTTTTGATTTATTTTTGGTCCTAAGGGCTGGGAGTATAGCTCAGTGCAAATGCCTTCGTTTCAATCCCTGGTGCAGAATTTAATAAAGTAAATAGATAAAATCATCAACAAACATTATGTAGGTTGTGGAGTCAGGGGCCAGTGTTTTCCATTTGTTTTTTGGGGGGGATGTGGAGGAGAGGGCAAGTGGGAATCAAACTCAGGACTTCATGCTTGCTAGGCAGGTGTTGTAACAGTGAGCTAAATCCTCAGCCCTTTGTTTATTATTTGATTTTATATTTTTCTGTATATTTACTTCTGTGTATTTCTCCACTAAAAAAAATAATTTTTTGAGGCAGGGTCTTGTTATGGAGTTCAGGCAGGCCTTGAACTTTCCCTGTATCCCAGGTTGACCTTGAACTCATGGCTATCCTCCTGCTTCAGCCTCCCGAGTGCTGGGATTACAGGTGTAATTGCCACATGCCACAGGTGTGATTGCCACATGCCAATTCATGTGACGTGGCATTTGCTTTTGTTTTCTTGTTTGTTTTTTGAGACAGGGTCTTTCTGTGTAGCTCAGTCTTGCCTTGATCTCACTGTGTAGCCCAACCGTGCCTCAAACTTGCAGCAATCAAGAATTTTATGTTTTTAAAATTATATTATTTTAAAGGGAAAAACAATAAAAACAATTTCAAAAACAAGATAAAAGGAAATTGATAGAGGTTAATATATTGTTCAGATTATATGATGTAAGCATGCATAATTGATCAAAATAAGCACAAACCATTTTATTCGATGAACTAAGAGAAATCAGTAGTATAATTATCTTAGCTGTCTTTTGTGTATGTATATTGATAGAACTGTGGGGGACTGGCGATGGCTGAAAAGATAAGAAGTATGAAATATAAATGACCTTTATATTGAGAATGCGGAGAGAGACACCCCGGATCCTCTGGGGTGCAGCATCACCCCCTGGGGGCGGCGATCTCTCCGTGGAACATGTGGAGTGGGGGCATACATATAACTTAGGTAGGGGGTAGTGTCTGAGGGGCATTAGGGATGCACAAGTAGCCCATTGGTATTCTTTTGGCGCCATAGTTAAATTCCTAGGGGGTGAGGGAGATAGGACCTCCTTGGTCCCGAATGAGGCTTTTCCAGCTACAGTGACCGGCCTGGGCCAAAACTCTTTCATATATATGTGTGTGTGTGTGTGTGTGTGTGTGTGTGTGTGTGTGTCCCTATAGTAAGATTATTTTATCTTTTTTTTCTATACATTTTCTTGAGTGATATTTTATTATTTTAATATGAAACCTTAATTTCTTGTTTCCATGTAAGGATACATATTCAGTTTTTGGGCCCTAGAATGTGAACATGTGAAGAACCATTATTCTGTCTACCACACAATCACTATTTCCAGGTCATTGTGTGGGTGCTTCCAATATAAACCAGGGGAGCTCTGTGATAGTTAACTGAATACTTGAATAAGAAATACCTAAGTGTTTGGTTGAGCACAGTCCTGGGTGTGTTTAGATGATTGACTTACTGAAAATGGAAAAATTATCCTGGGTGTGGCATAGATAAAATAAAAATGGAGAGAAGTAGGAAGTCTCAGTTCTGTTTCTTTGGAGGAGCTCAGGTTTTCATCATCACCTTGGATTTCTGTTTCCAGGATTCCAGAGAAGACTCTTCAGCTTTCTAATATGGACCTGAACCAGACACTGCAGTGAGCTCCATGGCTTTCTAATTGTAACTGAAGCTTTCTGATTTCCAGCACAAAAACAGCTGTTTTGCATTCTTCCACATCAGGCTCTGCTGGTGGCCATGTAAGTCCTACCTTGTAAATCAGGTGTGTATGTATATATGTGTGTGTGTGTGTGTGTGTGTGTGTGTATACATTTTATTCCTCTAGTGAACCTTAACTGATACAGTATTGATGCTGATAATTCATCTTGTGAGGTCAAATGTGGCATTATATTCTCAATGTGAAGTATTACCTAGTTTGAAGGAAAAACCATTATGCTAGTCAAGTTTTATATTTGAGTTGAATCTGGGAAGTAATGGGACTCCTGACTGCCTAATTCCTTTGTTCCTTCCCTTTTCTTCTTTTTTTTTTTTTTTTGTCTTTTTGAGACAGGATGTCACTATGCAGTTCAGGCTGGCCTTAGGCTCACTTTGTAGCCCAAGCTGGTCTTGAAATTGCAACGGTCCACCTGCCTCAGCCTCCTGAGTGCTGGGATTACAGTAGTACGCCACCACACCTAGCTCCTTTCCTCTTCTTTATGTGAGATGTATTTCCTGTCCCTGATTCTGTATCATTGCTTTTGCCCTTGTAAAGAGTTCTTCATACACTACATTACAGCTTTAAAAGATGAGGAGTCTTCTGCTGGAGATCAAGTACTCTGTTGGCACACCACTTTTTGTTGGTAGTACTAGATATCAAACCCAAGGGCACTCTAATACTGAGGTACATCCCCAGTCCTTTTTATTCATTTATTTTTTGAGTCTCAATTGCCCAGATTGATCTTATTTTTTTTGTGTTTGCCTTTTTGAGACAGGGTCTCTCTATGCAGTTCAGGCTGGCCTTGAGCTCACTTTGTAGCCTAGGCTGGTCTTGAATTTGCAATGATCCTCCTGCCTCAGCCTCTTGAGTGCTGGGATTACAGGCATGAGCCACCATGCCTGGCAGGTTGATCTTAATCTTATGATCCTCTTGCTTCAGCTTCCTGAGTAGCTGGGATTACAGATGTGCAGCTTTGTTCCTAACCTTGTTCCTAACATTTTGAGAATATCTTACAACTCTCCTGATACAGTACACTTCTCATCAGTCTTAACTGAAAAATTGTATGCATTAGCAACACTTATTTGAGATGTGTGTGTGTGATATACACAAAGACAGATATAATCTTTACTCTGGAGGTTTAGGTAGGAAAATAAAGTAGAATGTATAGTGGCTTGAAACAGAAATATAATGCAAAATTTAAGAGTATGTAATAATTTGGGGCTAACAAGAGAAATTGATGTCAGTTATTCTCTAAGAGCTCAAATGTAAGTTTCTTCTTTTTCTTCTTCTTCTCCTTTTTTTTTTTTTTTTTTTTTTTTTGGTACCAGGAATCAAATTACCAGGCAAGCACTTGAGCCACTGAGCTAAATCCCCAGCCCTACTTCAAACTTTTATCTTTACTCTGGACTTCATGCCATCAGTAATATTCAACCCAAAATTTGAAAATGAAGTAGAAAAGTCATCCTCTGAAGTGGATCTAGCAGGAATCAAAATAGGAGCAATTAAATCATGAACAAGTGCGAGCTATCCACAGGGGAATTAAGCCAGAACTTAAGTGCTAGTTTGAACTTTCAATTCCAGAATTTGTACTCTTTAAAGTGAGACAGAATTCTAGTTTGTTGTATCTTAGAGGAATAGGCGAAATTTCAGGGCTAAGGCAGCTGGTCAGAGGGGAGAATTCCTCTAGGATGACAAATGACAAGTTTACAGCATCTCAGTAGGGAGTGCATTTACTGTGTTTTGTCTACCTGGTATTTGGTAAAGGCGTGATCCCCCAGCAAGTTCTCAGCAAACAGTACCTTGACAAAGGTCATGTAATTTTCACCTAGTTTAAAAGGGAACAACAAAAAAACCAGGCAATGACCTCTATAAATGGTCGGTTCTTAAGAAAAAAGTATCAAGAGAACCAAGGAAAAGAGGTGAGAAAATGTTGTGGTAAAGGAAGTGGAAATTACACCTGGCTTTGAGCCTGTAAGCACAGGGAAAGAGAGCCAAAATCACACCATTATTGTGTCATTTTCAATGCAATATAAAGCTTCTTTCATCTGTGTGGGGGGTCCCTATGTAATGTGGGTGTGGATGTCAGATTAGGGGGATAAACAGGGAACATATTCATGACTCTCCCAGCCAACCTATAAGAACATTTCTGTCATCCCTGCTCCCCCCTCTCCCTTCTCTTCCCCTTCTACCCACCAAGTGGAATGACAAATGGTAATGAAGCCCACTTCAAATCACAGAAACTAAGAAGCCAAGTATCCTTGTGTACTTAGCATATGTTATTTGAGTAAGTGGCTACTGCTGATGATATATCCGGTAAAGATTATGTAACTGGTTGTGAAATGTACAACAAAGAACCATAATATCTTCTTAAGCAGCTGTTCATAAACTACACACCTCTTTTTCCTTTGCTTAAATCCAATCATTAACTTGACAGTGAACTTCAGAATTCAGAAAAAAGAGCACATCAACTGAAAGATGAAAATTTTTGTTTTGTTAAAGTTCAAGGAACCCTGGCACCAAAAAACAAAATCCAAGGAAAGTCAGCATCCCCAGCCCAACCCCCAAGACTTTTATAATGCCATATTTTCTGAGTTAATGGAAAATATATATATATATATTGTGTGTATATATATATATATATAATACAGTATATTTTTATACTTAGGATTTAACCCAGGGCCTTTTCACTGAGCTACATCACTAGTCCTTTATTTTATTTTATTTTATTTTATTTTATTTTATTTTATTTTATTTTGAGACAGGGCTTGATTAAGTTATTAAATTTCCCAAGCTGAGCTTGAAATTGTATTCTTCCTGCCTCAGCCTCATAGAGTGCTAGGATTACAAGTGTGTGGCATCACACCTGGCAAAACAAAAAAGTATCTTTAGTATTAGAAATTAAATGATAGTATGTTTTTTCTTTTCTAAATAAATTATGTGGTTTATCTTTTTTGTCTATGTGTCTTTACTATTGGAAATTTTAAGGTTGCAACATGTTTATCCTAACTACAAATCAAAACTAGTTAAACAGAAAAAAAAAACCCTAGTTAAATATCCTTTAGTGAGAAAGAACATGTTGAGAAATCATGTCATTGCTCTGTTTATATTTCTGTTAAATATTTGTTTTAAGTAAAAAAAAAATCTGTTTCAGTCTCCATTTAATGAAGGTGGTTTAGCGAAGCCACTTCAAAGTTATGACAATGTGAAAAATCTGTGTCTTGTTTTGTATTTTATACCAGGCATCAAAGGTCAGCCAGTGTTCTAACTTGCAGAGATTTCTATACTAAGTTAATAAAGAACTAGTTTGGGGTGTATTTTGTCTTTGTTGGGCACTATTTAATGGATTTATTAATTGTTCTTTGATAATTAAGAGGCAGTTATGAAAACCCAAGTCAATACCAAGAAAAACAATTACTTAAGTAAGTGAACTTGATAATTTAAATCTAAGGTTATAATTGATCAACTGAATGACTTATGAGAAAATCACCTGTTTGGTGGGAATTATCTGAATTACACTTAAATTGAAGGAATGGTAACTGAAAAATCCTAATGTGGAACAATTAGTATCTTAGTGTTAAGCAAACACTTGAGTCAGACTACCTAAGTTCAAATCCAGTTTAGTTGTCTACTGCTTTGGCCTGGAGCAAGTTACTTAGACTCTCCTTGCATCACTTCACCATCTACATAACATGTGGGTGAAGCTACGTGTGGTGGCACACTCCTGGAATCCCAGCACTTGGGAGGCTGAGGCAGGAGAATCATTTGCAAGTTTGAGAGCAACCTGGGCTACAAAGTGAGTCCAAGGCCATCCTGAATTGCATAGTGAAACCCTGTCTCAAAAAGACAAAGTAATAAATAAATAAATAAATAAAACAATAAAACAAATATGGGTGAAAACAGTACCTACCACAGTCATTGTTGTTATTAAATAGAACATGGTAGGAAGTACTATGAATACTGAGTTATTATGCCAAATGATCTTAACAGTGAAATTGGCTGTAAAGCAGTCATTTACAGAATAAATGACTATATATCACACTTGAATTTTTTTGAGTATCAAGAAGAAAAACACAAAGCCCTTATGGATGACAGCACAAACCATCTACACTCACAGAACTAACTAAAAAATGTATTTGTGGTGGATTGACGGATGGTGGGCAATTTTTAACACCCAGCTGAACTGAATCAGTATGGTGCTGGGTATGAATGGCTCACCTGAGGATCCTTGGCAACAACATAAAAAACTGAAAATAAATGTGTGGTGTTGTTGGTTCTCCCGTTGTGGTTTGTTTTCCTGGAGGAGCTCTTTGAGCTTCTTTCCTAATACAAACTCAGCTATTCTCATTGTCAGAGGCTTTCCGGATCTCATCGCTGAGAAGGGCTGCAGTTCACTTTGGGGGAGCTCTGGTCTTTACTTTGAGCATCACTTTCTGGATCCAGAGGGGAATGTGATGTGCTGTTCAGTTTCCTGAAGAAGCTTGTCACACTGGCTTTCCTGAGATGAACTCGGCTGTTCTCATCATAAGAGCTTGGGACTTTGCTGACAATAGTATTCATATAAGATTCATATAAGATGTAAAGTAGTAAAAAACACTTAAAGCATGTAGTAATGCACACTTTGCAAAATCGTTTATTAGTATTATAAGTGCTGTTTAAATTACTCTTTTTGGAAAAGGGTGAGCTAGGGATATGCCTGTACTGTTAGTCTGTTTAAGCCATCATCCCTGGGTAAGTGCCCCTTGGTGCCTACTATCCCACATCATAAGTATAGCCAGTACTATACTTGAAGATCCTGGGGAATGGGGATATTTCATCCTGCATAATCCACCATGGTTTTCTGAACAGAATAGGCACAGGAACCAGAGCAAATACAAAGCTGTTCTCAACTGCAGATAACTAGTAGTTGATCTTATGGATGGAGGGCTGAGGAAATCCACCACTCAGCTATTTTGTATACGTAAGAGCCTTATATATGTGAGAGACATCCCATGTGAACATTTCCCAATGATCTGAGTTCTTTAAATAGGTTTCTTTTAGCAACTG